ACGTATACATACACATACACATATATTTTTTCACACATACATTTGCTAGTACATGCACAAAAAGTCATCTAAAAGGTTATGCTAATAGTGTTATATCTTAAGGATTCTAGACTGAATTTGAGTATATGTTATTCTTCAAATAATAATTTAAAAGATTTTTAATCTTTTCAATCCTTTCAGAAATACATGATAATTATCTGATTTAAGTATCTTCACAATTTTCTAGTCATAAGTAGGGTACCAGTATAAACAAATGCACAAACAAGCAAAACTACAGATGATATCATATTTAGGGCAGAAATTCTATATTTGTTAATTCATCCCCCAAACAGAAGTTAGTGAGAAAGTGTCTTTTCAGTACTCAGCATTGGGAAATGTGTTTTTAAACAAAACAATACAAAAATATTCTTTGAGCTAAACATAATCAGCTTTCAGAAACTCACTGGTTTGGAGCACAAAAGAGATAGGCATTTCTTTCCAAACCAAGAAGTGATCGTTTTTCACAGATCTCAAAGGACAAATAAACAATCAAAGAAACAGCCAGCCAACTTGGACAAATGTAGACCTGCACACATATTAAACCTCACCTAAAAAGCATTCCAGTTTACATTAAATTATTTAGAAATTCCACACCAAAATGTGGCCCTACTATGTCATAAACCAGGCAAAGGAGAACCTAGGAAATTGGCAAAGCTAGCTGGGCTAAAATAGAGTGAAAACTTCTTTCCTATATGTCTTCAATTTGGGAATAAAGTAGAGGTCAAAGAGACAAAGGCCAGGGTCTGGATAGGAATGCCATCTGTGGGACAGGTGCTCCAGATAGAAGCAAAGTGGATCAAGCCAGAAGGGGTGAGTGGCCAGGATTGAGAGAGTCTGTGGGGAGACACCAAACACAAACCTGGTTAGAAGGACAGTGATAATGACCTGTCATTTGTTGAGGGACAGCCATGCTAGACCCTTTTCATATGCTATTCACAGCTCACATTCTCCTTACAAACAGGGTCTTAGCTTTTTCAGATGACAACGCAGACTTAGAAGGGTTACAGGGCATGCCCAAAGCCACAGTGCTAGTAAGTGACAGAACCAGAATTCAGGTCCAGATCCTTCTCACCTCAAAGTCTACATTCTTTCCAACAGGCTAAACTGTGGAAATCTAAAGGACTCAAGAGAAGTATATGAGAATAGTAAAGTCAGGGACCATAAGACTCAGAGGCGTGGGTCAAGGGGCCAGTTCCATCAGGTCTCCCTATTCTGGATCTCTCCTAGAAACACAGGCTATTCTGCTGTATTCCTTTCATATACCATCTGGATACATGCTGTCTAGTGGGTGCATCATCTTCACAGAGCCATGGGGCAGATAAAGTGAAATAAATGTGATGGTTCCAAAGGCAGCCAGGTAGCTCTGCCAAGTGTCAGGTTGGATGTAAACAGTAGAGAGAAATGGAAGAGAGAGGGTGCCAGAGTCAGTGACTGAATAATCAAGCATTAGCTCCAGGCTCTGTCCAGATGCTCATGAGGCTCCCTTTCCCAAGAGGAGGATCACTCAGAACGATGTAATGAGAAACTGTGGAGGCTGACCAAGCAGGAAAACCAAGTGAGAAATGCGTTTTGAGAATATCGTTAGAGTATCAAGTGCAAAAGAAGGATAAACTAGAGAACAACCGAGATAAAGCGGGGACTTGGGAGGGGAGATTTGGGTACTTTGGGGGTGCAAGTCAAATGACAGTGACCTAAGGCAGGAGTGGAAGTGCTGAAATAAGTCTGACTTTGTCAAGAAGCATGATCATCAGGGACTTCCCTGGAGGCGCAGTGGTTAAGAATCCGCCTGCCAATGCAGGGGACACGAGTTCGAGCCCTGGTCTGGGAAGATCCCACATGCCGCGGAGTAATTAAGCCCTTGCGCCACAACTACTGAGCCTGCGCTCTGGAGCCTGCGAGCCACAACTACTGAGCCCATGCACCACAACTGCTGAGGCCTGAGCACCTGGAGCCCGTGCTCCGCAACAGGAGAAGCCACCGCAATGAGAAGCCCGCGCACCACAAAGAAGAGTAGCCCTCGCTCGACACAACTAGAGAAAGCTCGCACGCAGCAACGAAGACCCAACGCAGCCAAAAATAAATAAATAAATATATTAAAAAAAAAAAGAAGCATGATCATCAGAAGTAGACGGTGAGCGAGTCAGAGGCAGGGCATCAGTCTTGGATTAGAGAAATTGCAAAAGGAGTTATAGGTGAGGGAAGAGGGAGGAAGAGATGATTCAAAGATGTAAGACAGAGGAATCAGTTGGTGGAGTGTGGTTCCAGATGAGTGGGGAGGGGTAGGATTCTGTACACTGATAGAATTTTTCCTTAAAGGGGGTTGGTGAGGGAGGGAAGTAAGACTGATGATAAAGCAGACATTTGAAGGGATTTTTAAGTATTTCTCACAAGTGGTAAATAGACTCAGTTTTTTACTATTCCAACACCATGAAGGACAGACTTGATTCAGCAAGAAAAAGGAACAGAATAGCAGACGTGAGTTCAAGTTCCTAGCTTTGCTTCTTACTATCTCTGTGACCCTGGACAAAAATTCTGAGCTTTGCTTTGCTCACGTTTAAATTAGGGTGATTATACGTGTCTTGACTCCAGTGGTATCCTGGAGCCAGATTGCATCAACTCTCCCAAGCTGACTGTTAAATATCCAAAAATTCAGACTTGTTAAGTCATTGGTAGTTTGGAACTGGCCACGGTGTGAGCATTTACACCATGGAAATAGGCAGATGTTACAAAGCAAGTCTTCCCTCTTCCTTCCCAGGGCTTGCCACTGCCTGCTTCCCTTATAATATTGTCAGGCTGAAATGAGACACTGGCTGTGGAAACCCTTTGCAAATAACCAAGCCCTATATAATAGAAAGAGTTTTTATTATTAATATTAACAGGTGTGGTAGCATGACTTTTTCACATATTAGAGTTTTATCTTCCATCACCTGCCCACCATTCCTAACAGGTGGTCTTTTGTATTTCCTTTTCTTAGCAATATTTGCAGGGCAGAAGGCAAAGATGATTGAAAGCAATGGCTCTTCCAGTCTTATTTAAAGGACTATACTTGCCAAAGAGATAGTGTTAAGAGTAGGAAGGAAAATGGGAATATCAAAAAGGCTTCAAGGGGAGATTCAGAATAAGAGGTTCCCAATGGTCTGAGAAGGGGAGAGGTCAGTGGATTTTACAGGAAGTTGAAGTGGCTGTGGACTGGATGCCTAACAACCTCCTGAGAGGCACGAGACCTCAGGAAATGGCTGCAGAGTGGATCTGAAAAACCTACCCGGGCAGGCAGCTTCTTAGACTCAACGCAGTATCCACGTGCATAAGACCACAGTCAACCACACTTGGATTCGGGATATATAAGACAGGAAATCCTGCCAGCAGGGCAGCAGCAGTGTTCCTTTTCCCCAGGAGTGATCCATGCAGCAACCCACATAGCCATCACGGGCTCTTTTCTTCGGCTTCCCAGGGTTCCAGTACAAGAGAATGAGACCACATGAGGTAGGTGTGGGATCCCCGCCCCCATCTAGACCCTCGTGCTGTACAGGAGCCAATATCTTAAACAGGCATAGCTGCCCAGTGCCCTCAAGGGACTTGCCCAGTTTCAAGAGTCACTGCTTTCAGGTAAGCCCAAAGCTATGCTTCCCCTCAGGTTCTTAGTTCCCCCAGGGCAGATACAATTCACCACAAAGGGCCATTTTTGCCACAAGTTACTATACCTAGAAATAACACAGCTGCCACAGTACCTTTCTCAGGTTTTCGGAGGAAACAGAGAAAGTTAACAGAAAGTAAAAACCTCAAGTTGAAAGGGAAAGAGTGTTTTAAAACAGTTTACCAACGGTGGGCCCAAGGAGGCAGGACCCCAGGCACAGGGACCCCCAGCCTCACCAGTGACGCCTGTGTCCCAAATGTGGCCCAGAGGCAGAGACCCTGGACATAAAACATAAAGGTCATCCTGCTGCTGATTAAACAGAAGTCTTGTCTCCCAGACCCTGACTATTCCATCCACTGTTAAATCAACTCTCATAAAAATTATAGTAAAAAAATCCCGTTGACCTCTCCCTCTACCTCAGGTTACAACTGCAGTAAGAATTTATTCATATCACTCTTGAGAGTGAACCAGTTAACATTTGCAGAGTGCACAAAAGATGAAAGATACATTAATAACAGTACCAAGCATGCACTGGGGACTGCTCATCCTCTGGGCACTTAGCAATCACAAATCATTCAACCGCTGTTTGCAAAGTATTATCCGTCCATTCCTAGTGCAAACAACCTCCAATTTATAAGGGAATTCTAATCCTAAACTATCTTGTCATTTAAAAACATTACTCTTCAAGACCTGGCATTATGCTGAGTTGTTCTTTTAAAGGATTAATGAGAATCCTCGTAGTTTGAAATAACTAAATGCAAGAACCACTCCTAATAAGTATTGTGTAAAGAACTTATTCTTTTTAGAAAAAAATATTTTAATTATAGAAGTAACACATTAGTACAGACTCATTATAAGAAAAATCCAAACAATACATTTAAAGTAAAAGTCTTCCTGGCCCTCTTCCCACCACGCTTCCCTCGTTGGAGATGACCAGGATATCAGTTTGTGGTACATCCTTCCTTCCCTTTTGCTCTACATTTATAGTTAATTTTTTAAATTATAAATGGCTCTCAGTAAAACTATTACAGTGTATGGTTTAGTCAGAGATTCCTTGTCTCCTCTTTTTATAAGGGCTCTAATCCCATCACAAGGTCCCCACTTCATGTCCTAATCTAACCCTAATCACCTCCCCAAAACCCCACCATTTCCTAATACCATCCCCGAGGGGATTAGGATTCAACATACGAATTATGCAGTCCATAACAGTGTAGGTTCCATATTTCCCTGGAAGACATTAGATATACAGAGAGCCCTTCAGAAAGTTTATCATCCCCTTCCACCATGTGAGGATACGAGAACTCTGCAACCAGGAGAGGGACCTTACCTGACTATGCCGGCACCCTGATCTTAGACTTCCAGCCTCCAGAACTAGAAGAAATACATTTCTGCTGGCTATTAAAAAAAAAAAAAAAAAGTTTATCATCAGGAAATGTTAATAGTTTCAAAATTAGCTACACACATGTTAGGGGAACCAAGAACTTGTTGCTTTTCCCTTAAGAAACAAGAGATGTCTACAGAATAGGAGAGGAACGTGATCTAGCAGCTTCACTCTATAAACATTCCTAGCATCCAGCATCCCTGAGCAGTTCCAGCGCCCCAGAACCCTCCTGTGACAAGTCTGAAGAGAGCTAGCATTTCCAAGCCATGCAGTTCAGGCTCCAGAGCGTACAGAATGATGCACTCAGCTAAGTAGCTGCTGCGGGCACTGCTCCCCGGGCCCACCCTCTCCCCCTCTGAAGTTTCCATTACCCACGGGCTTTGATCTGGTAAACAGATCTGAGTCCAATCACATGGCAAAGGTTGCCTTTCTCTCACTCTCCTCTCTGTGCCTGGGAGAAATGAACAATTAACAAACAGAAAGTGTTCTGTGAAAGTTCATTATTTTGTACCTGATTTGAGAAGACTGAAAAACGGCCCTTTCAAACAGTCTCTTTTGCCAATTTCCTCCCTTCCTTTCCCCCAGAACCTAAGCCCTGGGATTCTCCCTAGGGATTTTATAGAAACCAGCCCATCTGGAATATTCTGCTGACAGAAAGTCAGTAATTGATGCCAGCCGGAGAAAGCACAACTTCTGCAACTGCTTTAATTCCAGAAAAGTCTTGCCTCCCTTGCAGTGTTCACTTCAGCCAGGCTTTGCCTCATCTGGCTGTGTAGCCTCAAGTACCTGAGAAAGTCTCCAGAACCCAGTGCCCAGTGGATGCTTGTCAAACTGAATTAATTGCATTGAAGTCATTTGATCTCTCTGGATCTCGTTTGAAAATGGGAATAACCATACATACTTCACAGTGTAAAGATTTATTTAATCATATGGTTTGGCTTCTCAAAAAATTCTGTTGGGTCCCTATTCCCTAAAGGATAAATGGGGTGCAGTTTCTTGCGGTTAAATGAGAGGCTTGGAGCTTACTAGATGAGTGCTGTTGAGTGGGTTATTTCATCTCTCTGAGTTTGTTTCTTCATTTGTAAAAATAGCAAAATAATATCTACTTTAGAGTGTTATTGTGAATACTAAATGAGAAGACATGGGAAAGTCATGACACAAGCATTGTCCATGGTAAGTGTTCTATAAATGCTAACTATTATTCTTATGTGCATAATCTGTACATTGTGGGCACATGACCAAAATCAATAAATGGTAAGTGGATAAACAAATGAGAGAACACAGCTGTATCAGTTAGGAAAGTGTTGGGCTGCATGTGATAGAAACCCTGCTATAGCGACTAAACCAAGTAGCTGGTTATTTCTCTCATGTAATACGAAGTCCAGAGGCAGGCAACCCAGAGCTGACAGAACTGCTCAAAGAAGTCGTAAGGGACCCAGGCCCTTTCTTAGCACATGGTCCTCATCCTCAGATGTGCTGTGTTCCATTCAGGAAAACGTGGGGAAGGGTTTCAGTTGCCTCATCTGTAAAATGGGAATAGGCTCACTGCCTTCCCAGTGAGCCATTCCATGATTCACCAACCAACTAAGTATCGAATAAACACTGCTCATCTGGGGAAAAGGCTTTTGTGGCTAGATTGTTTCATGTCCCAGAAATAAGCCATGTGGGTCTCAATTCCACTCACACTCATTGTTCATAATGAGAATTCTGAAAATATTTGGCAACGTGAAGAAAAGTTTATAAAAATGTTAAATACAAAAGGAAGGCTCTAACAGTTGGTCTAGGTACCAACAAGGAAAATTCTAAGATATATTAAGTGAATAAAAGGAAGTCACAGACAACACTTGTAGATGATGTCATTTTTGAAAAAAACCCCAAAATTATAACAAAACAAAAACTGGTTGGAGAGAGGTAATAAAGACTTTCCCTGTTAGCTCTATAGAATTCTAGTTTTACATTTTTACAGCACATATATATTTATATATTACTTATCTAATAAAATTAATCTAAATTAATGATTTTAATTATGCAATAATGTAATTATATAAAATTATGTATGCATAGGGTAAAGCTTGGAGAGGATTCTAGGAAAATGAAAGTGGTAGCTGTGTCAGGCAGGTGAAATTATAGAAGAATTCCTTATTTGTGTTATTATTGATATGTTTCATGTACAATAAATATGATTTTCCCCCCACAAGTTGTTCACATGAGGCATAGGTAGATTTCTATAACAACCCAAGTGGGGCATTTTTTAAAAGGTAACTGTGGGTTTTGCTGATTGTGAGATCAGACCAGTGCAGCCTCAGCTGCGAGCAAAGTTTAGCAGAGATTATCTGAGATGCTTGAAACCAAATTATTTTACCTGAACTTGGTGAAAAAAGCTGTCTCTTCAGTTTCATTTTTTTTCTTTTACCTCTAGCACCAAAAGCCAAAACACAGGACAAGAACTAGGATGGCCACTACCTCCTCTCTCCCTGAGATCCTGTCCACGCTGTGCGCAGATCGCAGAGCTAAGCTGGTCATTACTGCCTGGCAAGGAGGGTAGTCTAGGGAGGATGGAGCCTGCTGGACAGGGTACTTCGCACTGCCCTGCAACTCTGCCATACCATTTCCAAATGGAAGGCCATTACCTGGATCATTAACCTTAACTCCTATATAAACCTAGTCACTCAAAGCAGCTCAATATAAAGCAGTTGTTGTGGGAAGGCTCCAAGTAGGGTATAGAAATGCTGGTCAGGAGGTCCCTGCTAGAACATTCAAAACCAGCTACCGCTCAATGACTAGGTGCCCAGCACTGGACTGTCCACTTACACTCAGGATCTCAGCTCATCCTCTTGGTGACATTGCAAGGTAGACAGCACACACACACACACACACACACGCACACACACACTCCCCATTTCATAGAAAGTCTAAATGACTTACTCACTCAAGACCACGTAGCCCATCGAATGAAACAGCTGTAATTCAAACCCACCAATTTTGAGGACTATAAAATCCATACTTTTAACTGGTTCAACATTTTTCACATGCATCTGCACTTGAGCAGAGTTTTGGTCCTTTGAAACAAAAAACCAATGCAAATTTGAGGAGCATGTCTTCAATGTCGGGCACAGGGGTGGGGGGGGCAGGAAACAAAAGTTCTCTGAACACACTCAATGCTGCAAACAGATTCCATGAAAAGGTAGCCAGGCTTAATTCCACCCTAGTGTGTACAGCACGGCCTTTAGGCAGTTGGGTGTGTTTTCCCCCCAAGCAATATATCACCTGAGCCACAGTAGCCTGTAATGTATGGCTTTAATATATTACCAAGGGAAAATGTTCCAATGATTTACTGGGGTACAACATTATTGGTATTATGAGGCAGCATTAATCAAAGCTATGGAGTTGGCTTCTGAAAACCATTAGGTAAATCCCAAGCTCTAAACTTAATGTATTCATCTTGGACCACATTCTGGAAGGAATGAGAAGATCTCACTAGTTTTGCTTTAAATCTGCCTTCCCATTGGTAAAATTAATGTGTTTGTGTGTGTGTGTGTGTGTGTGTGTGTGTGTACAAGTTACTTGAAATTTTTAAGGTGCATTTTAAGATGAACAATTGTTAAAACGTCTCTCTACCATGAGTCTCCCTGAAGGAAGAAAGCCCAGTCCCCTAGTTATACATTCTGAGGAGACAGGCCTGCCCTGAATTTCCCGTTTAGTTGCCAAACACAACAACCAAAATATAAAACCAGAAGTCATTCACTTTTTAAAAACAGTTTAACATCGCTTGTTGGAGGGATAGTTTATAAATACAAAGATCCTAAAAAGCAAACTCTGATGAAGGAAGTTATAGAATGGGGAACCACGGACATCAGATGAAGAACAGGGTTAAGGGTACATGCTCTGTTTCTCCTCTGTGAACAATATCTCCTACTATCTCCTTATGGTCTATACCCTGCTTAACACACACACACACACACACACACACACACACACACACACACACACA